GGTATCCATGCGAAGACAGTGTTAGGCAAGGCATAGTCCTGTACGGCCTGAATCCATGGGTGACGAGAGCGTACAGAAGAGAGAGCAGAGATAACACTGGCTGAGTCCGATAAAATTAGGAGCGGGTTTACTGACGGTGTAGTGGCTGCAATGAATACTGCCGTGGCTTCGGCAGTAAAAACCGAACAAAGATCAGGTATACGATGGGAAGCGCAGAGATTTGGACCAGTTATCCCAATGCCTACGCCTAGGGAACTTTTTGAACCGTCAGTATAGCGAATGCAGTGTCCGCTATATTTCTTGTGCAGCCATTCAGTTCTGAACTTACTCCTAATATGATTGTCTTAACTTCTTGGACCGCAGCGTTGAAGTTCGGATATGGGTGGGAGGTTACAGTTGCAGAATCGATTCAATAATCTGTTGGCCTCTGTGACGAGGGTTGTCTCGTCATTCCTGGATGCCATCTCCATGTGACTCACTGCTCGTTTGCACACCGTGCTGGCATCTACGTGGGCGAAAGGAAGCACCCCCAGCTCCACGCAGGCGGCATCTGCAGGTGTGGAAGGCTACAAACTGGATACGGTTCGGATCGCATTGTTGTATGTAGAGCTCAGTTTATCTATCACAGTGTCAGCTGCTGAACACAGAATTTCAATACCGTAGAGGAGCTTTGATTCCACGATAGCCTTAGAGACTCGTAACCGGATGTCCCTGTTATTGCTGCGATGAGGTTTGGCGAGAGTGCGCAGGAGGACGAGCTTTACAATTTTCTTTGACATCTTTCAGGTGCTCCAAGAAGCTGAGTCGATTGTCAAATCGTACTCCGAGAATCCGGATCGTCTTCTTGTAAGGAATCGGTTGGCTGTTGATTGTGATCGGTTGAAGTGGTGGCCGGTGCCTTGATTTGCAGATGTGAGTTCGCACGCTTTTTACTGCAGGAAGATTGAATCCGACTGAATCGGTCCAACGGACTACGGCGTTTAATGCTGCCTGCTTCTTAGAAGAAGGGGACTTTTACCTGGAACTACTAAGACGATGGAATCTGCGTACACCAGGATATAAATACCTTTTGGTAGCTGGTCGAAAATGCTGTTCAAAGAGGGTCACGGCAAGGACTGACCCTTGTGGTACCCCAGTTTCCTCGCTGACTATCCTCGAGCGGTGATTCCCAATTGTCACTTGGAAGGTTCTTTTCATAAGGAAATTCTGTAGGAAATGCATGATGTTCCCGGAGAGACCTCACTGAGCCAGTTGTTTTAGTATTCCCGGAGTCCACGTCCGGTTGTAGGCTTTGGCCAAGTCGAGAGAGGCGATCTCCACATGTTGATCGTTGTTCATTGCTTCACCTAAGATTTGGCCGAGTGCAGAAAAATAGGTACTAGATTATCGAGATAGCTGTTTTCTTCGAGGAAATCAACCAGGCATCGGTTTACCATTCGTTCTATCACTTTGCAGGCACAGCACGTGAGCGATATAGGACGGAAGGCTCTGGGGAAACACCGTTCTTTGGAATGGGAACTACAAGGCTGTGTATTCATTCTGATGGGAAGGTATTGTCCAGCCAGACCTTATTCAGCAACCTGAGGAAGGCTGTTTTGCCGCTCGGTGGGAGCTGTTTTAGAGTTGGGTATCCAATATCATCAGGACCAGCGGAGTTTCCTTTGCCATTAGCCAGTGCGTGGTTTAGTTCTGCCATGCAGAACGGCTGATTGATGGCTGTCGAACAGGAGTCGTTTGGGATCGTGAAATTTTCCAGCGACTCCATTAATACATTTTTACGTAGGAAGGTGCTTTTATATTGTCGGAGTGCTGATAAATCCTCGAAGTATTCCGCGAGGTTGTTCGCGACTATGCTGGGGTCCCTCGTTATCATGCTCGCATTTTGAATGGCCGGATCTTTTTTTGCCATTCAGTGCGTTCACTCTCGCCCAGATTTCAGCAGGGCTATAATTCGAATAAATGCCGTCGAGGAAGGATTCCCACGATTATTGCAATATGGTCACTTTTTTATGGTTTAAATATCACTAAAGTCACTACTTTTACAACACATACCCACTACCAGCCCTGGAATTGCTAATCAGAATTTGCTGGCTACCATGACATGGAAAACCCCCGGGAAATCAAAATGAAAATTCACTAAATATTCTGATATAAATACCCAGGGAAAATGGATTTAAACCAGTGAAAATCGGGAATTTAAAAATTAAAATTCACTGGCAGAGTGCTGCAGTGAAAATTGCGAAAAACATTGGTGATACAAACGCTTTACATCAATTAAGTAAAATTCTCCCATTACAATTACTTTTAAAGCCACCACCTTCGACACGGTTTACACTTAACCCTTCCTGCAGGAAAAAATACAACGCTGCCCAACCCCCCGGGGGTTGATTTCTATATCCGTAATTTAAGCACCTCGATTATCATTTAATTACGCATGGGGCGTGAATGTTCGCCCTTTGCAGGCATAAAAATATGCAAACATAAAAATTAAAATTGATATTGCCCAACAAAACCGTACGCATCAACCAGATCCGCTGGGCAGCTCCCTAACGAAAAACATAACCCCTCCACCACTAGACCGACCGGCGGCATCGTTCGCCGGAGCAGACCGTTTTCAATTTACTCTTAATTTGCCCCGTCTCGAAATTAAACGCTTCCTCCGAACTGCGAGTGGGTACTCTTTTTCAATTACTGAAATCAATTTCCCAAAATTGCTAACGGCCACGGCGTGGTGGGCCCTTGTCTCTCTTACTTCGCTTCATCCCACTCAGCCGTCGTCGGTGGAATGGATTTTTTTTTATTATTTGCGTTCATCCAATAAAATTTATGAACTCAACAACGATAACAATAGGCGTCTAAATTGTCACGCTTCGTCTGCACACGGATATGATAGCGGGGAACTATAGGTTGTGCGCCGTGTGCATATATCCTTTTCGGTTGAGGGAAAAGCCAGGGATTGTTTGCCTTACACATATCAACAAATTCCATTAAATTAATATAGAAATAAATAATAGATTGCCGACGTCTGGATTGCAGAAAAATAGACAGCGCTGAAAATTGATATTGTTGTGTTGTGGGGTGGCGTGGGCGTAACGTAACCCATGCTATTCATTCAGTGTTAGGAAAATGAACAAATGATAAGTGGAAAATTTAAATGTTGAACTAGGATGGAGGCACTACACCCAAATGCATGTTTGTATGCGAAATCTGTAATAAATCCCCGCATATGCAGATTATGTCTTGTGATCGTCAAACGACTTTTAAAAGAATTTTGTATTTATTTATTTTTTGAACTCATTCTCCCACCTTCTTAATCCATAATCACCTATCCAGAAGGCAAGCCTCCTCCCAATTCTGTTAATGATTACATTTCCATAACAATAAAACTTACATTTTCACGAATTTACTGTGAATACATTTGCGGTTGTCGGTGACAAAGGTTCACTTCCTCAGCCCGAAAAAAACGGCAATAACGAATAATCATAACAAACGATAGCAACCTTACTACGAGCAACAAACACCAATAAAAAATAATAACAATCGTTTTACTCCGCTGTTTTTCCTCATAGATGTCACCGTAGTATGTAGTCTGGTTGGTTCGGCGTCGCGTCGTCGGTTTTTCGATTTGGTGGGTGTAAATCGGCTCTGTCGTCGCCGTCGTCGTCTTCATCGTTCGTTCTCTCGCTGTTGCTTTCACATCGATCGACGACAAGCAACAACAACAACAACACCCATATAGCCATAAACGATTTTCATTGTTATTGATGTTTTGCATATCGTTAAGAAAATGCACGCGGGGCGCTGTGGTGGGTGGTGAGAGGTGAAATTCGATTTAAATATGCCACCGAACACCGTTAACAACGGTGGATATGCTCTTAGTGTTGGGTGGGAAACGTTGAAGTGATGGCCTGGTACGTCCGGCCATCATCACAGACCAACAATTGAAAATAAGGATCCCCAAAACGATGAAATAATGAGTCTGGTGATTATTTTCGGTTCTTTATATTTTCGCTTCTTGAATAACAATCATTGATGGTGCGGCTCTATGAGTGTCGGGAAAGTGCTCGTTATGAGTGTTTTAATGGGATTTGTTATTTCGAGTGGCTGCTGCGCTGCAATCGCGACTGAGTGGTCCGATAAATTTAAATTGCTTCAATATGCTTTACTTTGTAGAAAGTTGCTGATTTCTTATCATTAATCTGAAATTTATTCTGTCTACAAGCTACTTTCATCTTCCACGTGACTTCACTGAGAAATTTAGCGATTTGACTGCCAGAGCAGAAATCCTTTAACACCTTTGAACTCGTCGGCCAAAATCAACAAAATCAACAGAAACGGATGATTACTTTCCCGTTCGGCAGTGATGATGTGCTCAAATTTCGTTCCGTTTCATGTCCGCGGCCACCTAAATTGGTGATGACAGTGGTAAAAAGTTTTCGTCACAAAGTGTCACTCTGGGGAGTGCTTTTTTCGAGCTTCCTTCTTTTCGAGACGCAAGAAAAATAAACACCCGGCCTCGCCCAACAACGACGGAAGCACCAGCGATTAAGAACTGCTGTAACCCTCCTCTATAATCCAACGTGACGGTGAGACGCGACTGGGCATGAAATTAACACGTAGTCGCTTGTTCGAGTAAATTAACGGCTACTGCTAGGGGATGGGAATGATGTTAGCAAACCGAAATTGGTGGGTGATGTCACGGTGGTTCTTCTTTTGGGTGACAAACTTTCACCGTAATTGGGCTATGCAGCAAACAGTTAGGTTTCCTCTACCCTCAAACGGCATATTATCGGATCATCATCAATCACAATCGAACAATCTGCTGTTCCCGCCACTATCAGATTCGTAATTGAAATTCCTCAGAAATGCGCTTCCGTGTTCGGTCGTATGCCATAAATCCTCTAATCAGATAGTAGATGCTCATCTCCGTCATCGACGATGACGGATCGCAGCGTTTCCTAATCAAACATTTACTCATTTGTGTCTCTACCCCATTTCAGTCTCTACACCAGAGCAAAACCATGGAAGGCTGTTCGGCACCGCTGGTGGTGAAATTTGCCGATACGCAAAAGGACAAGGACGCCAAACGGATGCAGCAGATGCAGTCGAACCTGTGGAACATTGCCGGCATCAACCAGCCGATCACGCAGTCGGTAACGCCGATGACCGCACCGGCCACCGGGCACCATCCGAACCCACCGCAGCAGCAGACGCCGTTCCTAGCGGCCGATGCTATCTCACCGGCCTCCCTGACGTTACTGCAGCAGCTGCAGGCGGTGGCTCAGCAGCAGCAGTTTTTGCAAGGTAGGTGTCCGGCGGAATCCTAATTTGTGTGTTCTATTGTGTGTCTCAACATTAACACCTATTCAATTAATTGCGGGAGGGGTATCATTTAAAGTTTCCCTCGGATTACTTTGAGCGTGCTTCGGGAACTTCTATCCAGGGTTCTCTCGGACTACGGTAGGTGTTCTTTGAACTCAATTCGAAGTCTTCTGGAAAAAATCTGGAATCGTCCGGGAATTTTATTTACCTGGAAAAACCTGAAATTAGCAAGGAATTTTCAAATTCCGGGAAATCCTGGAATATGAAAATTACCTTGAAAAAACCCTGGAATTCGACGGCAGAACCGGGAAAAATAAACAAACCTTAATATTAATTGTCAGGCCATAGTTCTAGAATCAATTAGTGAAACAGAGCGAGTTTTTACCTAACCTAAAACTTGCTCTTTTTTCAACACAATGCAAAAGGTACGAAGTTTGGAAGCTCGGATGAAACGAAATCCTGGGGTGCGAGAGAACTTGCAGAAGCATAGTTGAAGACAGCGTTGCCAGGTCATTTTCAGAAAAATCAGGACCAGTTAAAATATAAAATTTGGAAAAATCTGGAATGCTCTAAAAAGTCCTGTTTTTAACATAATGCTATTGAAATCAAACGGATGTGCATTTATCCCGTAAAAATCGGTCAGAATAAATCATCTGGAATTTATTTAAAGTACCAGAATGTTTATGAATTACATGTCTAAATAAATTATATAGGTTAGATTTTGATAAGTTCTTTAGTGGGAATGACACTGATGAAGACTGCACATTGTAGTCGAAATACGTATCTGTCATGGATACCAAAATTAATTAAGTGGAATTAAATGGAAGATAACCTTTTTTGCTGTTTTATTTAGCATTCCGCTAACAACCCAATTTCATTACTTCAAATAACTTGTTAGCATCAAAAATTTAGGAAAAGTATTGGCACTATGTTCAAAAATGTTTAAATATCCTTTACACATAATTTCAAATTTCAGTTAAAATACTGCAGAAAATTTGTTTAAACTGTAACTTTTTTTTTAAAGTATGAGAAGCAAAGAATCCAGCCACTTTTATGAAATGGATTTTTTTTAATAATAGTCGATGCAGTCCTTACTATTTGATGCAGTACCAGAATATGTCTGAAAGATTTTATTAGGAGTGTACCCCATTAGGCATAAATACGTTAGGCATACGGACGTTAGGCATAATGGACGTTAGGCATAAAGTCATTAGGCATAATGGACGTTAGGCATAGAATACCTTGCTGCTGTGCAACTCTAGAAACCTGCTTAACCTGTAAACCTGTAAACAATGCTTAAATTAGGCTTAGCGTTGAATAAAAAATGATACAAGTTAAACAAACATAGTTTGCACAGTTTGGAATCCATTATTTATCATATCATAAGTGACGTATCTACATATTTACTTAGATCCATGATTAGTAGCGATAGTGGTTAAGTAATCATACAATGAAAACTCAGCTTAGTTTTGAACTATATCTTGAAATCAATCGCATCTAGAAATAAAAAAAAATCACACATTTGTTGTAATATATTCTTACACACATATTGCAAAAGTCAAAGAAGAAAAGGTTTTCCTCAAAGAACAGCTCATGAAATAAAGAATGGTGAATTCTGTGATTTTTCATTGAATAACAAAAAAACAGCCAAGGTTGAATAAAATATGATGCCAAAGAACAGCTCATGAAATCAAGAATGGTTATTTCTGTGGTTTTTCATTCAATAACAAAAAAACATACCTCCTACTTCCAGGATTTCCTGCCATACTTTTCGATACAACGATTCTGATTTTGTTGTCATTAGAATGAAAACTAGCGGAACCGTCTGCTGATGTGAGGGAGCGATACTTCCATGAACAGTGACGAGTTGCCGAAACAAACAAGGAACTGTGGCAATCGTACCATCTGTAACCCAATACTTTGCCTGTCCAAGACGTCGTTCATGAGTTCCAAAAATTAAGGCTCTTTCATTATTGTCACCGAAGTCAGCAATCAATAGACGGTCTCCATTATCATCCTTCTGGAATTCATCCGGTAGATTATGCCTAACGTCCTTTATGCCCAACGTCCATTATGCCTATCGTACATTATGCCTAACGTCCGTATGCCTAACGTCGTGCACCCACACATAACACCTAGTAGACCAGCAGGCAATTTTAATTTTATGAAAAATTCACCTGGCTGAAGTGAGAACCAAAACCTCACATGGTGGTACTCACGCACATTTTACCTAAACTACGGGTAATTCCACGCATGACCATTACGAATAATTTTATGCAAAAAAGTTCCCTTTGAATCATCCTAGGATTCCATCATACTTCTTTTCTGGAGTCCCCTAAAATAATCTTGATTATCTCCAAAAAATTTCAACAGCATTCAAGGAGTTCTCAGAAAAACTCTCTTGGTACGCATTATCTCTTGTTATCTTTTAGATATCATTCTAATATTCCATAATTTCCTCAAACTGGTTATAATTCCCAAAAAATTCGCATTATTTTGTCTCCATTTTCTCCCTTAGAATATCGCTAAAAATTTCACACTTCAGAATGACCGCCACACTCTTTCTTAAAATTTAATTAAAATGAACCTCCCTAGAAACCTTGGAAAGAATTCCATTAGAATTATTCTCACGACTCGCATCAGCATACTCATTGTATTCCTCCCAGATTTCCTTACATATGCTCCCAGCAATTCTTTGAATTTGCCATCAACGTATCATCTTAAGAATTTTCTATGATTTCTCTTCCGAGTTATATTTAATTTCTTCACAAAATCGCCAAGCAATTGTTATCAGAGCTATGGAACTCTACTAAGAATAAACTTGAAATCCTCCTATGATTTCACAAGGAATTCACTTCACACTATACTTAAAGTTATGAAATTCTAGGGCAATTCAGAATTCGAAAATAATTCGGACTGCTAACTCAATATTCACAAGTACTTCAAAAATGCCTTTAATTTCAAATTTAATTCTTAAATTAATTCCTCCAAAATCTCAAAAACATACTTCAAAGTCCTGGTAGTTGTCTAGATGCAAAAGCCTTGCTTATTTTTCCAAAGCTCAATTTATTGTTATCCTGGACAGTTTTCGATTTCTCTAAATTAATGAAAATTCCTCCATTTTGAAATTTTGATTTTCTAGTCCAGGATTCCAAAAAATAAATTATAGCCAAAATCAAAACAAAAATTCCAAATAAGAAAGGCCCGATATTTAAAAAAAAATTAGTGGAAATGTTTCAATTTTCATGATTCTGCTACCCATTAACATGCAAAAATGTTGTAACAATTCCATGTACGATGTTGCAATAATTTCCAACGTTGATGACCATTTAATAATTAAAGTAGCAATTTTGACTTATTTTTTTATTTTAGAGAGTAAATCAATTGCAGTGATATTTTTAAAGCAATTTGTTTAAAAAATGTGGGAAAATCTGGAAAATATTTAAAAAATCTGGAAATATACGTGGTCTGTCTGTGTATCTGGCAAGACGACTGAAAATCTGGAAAATCCAGATAAATCTGGAATACTGGCAACGCTGGTTGAAGATGCTAATTTCAAATTACAGACTGTAGTGGTAATTTTTATACGATAGATGGAGTAGATGAAAGCATAGAGTTGATAGTTCCGTTAGAGTACGGCAGTGTGAAGATTGCATATAGATATTAGAATAGCGAGCTAGGACAACTTTTTAAGGAAGGTACAAATCGGTTTTTTCATCTCTCTTTACCAAACTCCCCCTTTGGGAGGGATGGTGAGGGGTGTCAAGCTAGCGATGGATGTCAGAAAGGTGCACGCAAATGGAGGTTTCGAGATACGGAACTGGGTCAGTAACTCGGAGGTAGTCCTGCAGGAGCTTGGAGAGCCAAAGTGTGCGGCGAAGCTGCTGGAGGTGGACAAGTCCTGCGAATTCGAACGAGTCTTGGGGATGTTGTGGGACCCAGAGGGAGATAACTTCATATTCTCGACGAAGATTTGGCAAGACCTTCAGCCATACATTCGGGAAGGTGCTTGGCCAACGAAGAGGATTGCGTTACGGTGTATAATGAGTAAAGGGTGATACGGTCAAAATTTGGTCAATATCAACTTGACGTATTTCTTTCAATTTTGCATTTAAAAAACCTGAACACCCCTCATTTTGAAGGTGTGTGTGTGTAGAATGTTGCTCCTATTTTGATTTTGGAATTCACTCTTCAGTTGTCAAAATGCCGTCCAAGCAAGAAGAGCAGCGTATCAAAATTTTGCTCGCGCATCGCGAAAATCCTAGCTACTCGCACGCAAAGTTGGCAAAATCGCTAAAAGTTGCCAAATCAACCGTTACAAATGTAATTAAAGTGTTTGGGGAACGTTTGTCGACAGCCAGGAAGTCTGGATCGGGGGGAAATCGAAAACCGGAAGCCGCTGAGACGACAAAGAGAGTTGCTGGTAGTTTCAAGCGAAACCCTAACCTCTCTCTCCGAGATGCCGCAAATAAGCTGGGTGTATCGTCAACAACCGTGCATCGAGCCAAAAAACGAGCCGGACTATCGACTTACAAGAAGGTAGTGACTCCAAATCGCGATGATAAACAAAATACGACGGCCAAAGCGCGAACCCGGAGGCTGTACACGACGATGCTGACGAAGTTTGACTGCGTGGTAATGGACGACGAAACCTACGTCAAAGCCGACTACAAGCAGCTTCCGGGACAGGAGTTTTATACGGCAAAAGGAAGGGGAAAGGTAGCAGATGTTTTCAAGCACATGAAACTGTCAAAGTTCGCAAAGAAATATCTGGTTTGGCAAGCCATCTTTACCTGTGGCTTGAAAAGCAGCATTTTCATAGCTTCCGGGACTGTCAACCAAGAAATTTACGTGAAAGAGTGTTTGAATAAACGTCTGCTGCCTTTCCTGAAGAAACACGGTTGTTCCGTACTGTTTTGGCCGGATTTGGCATCTTGCCATTACGGTAAAAAGGCCATGGAGTGGTACGCCGCCAACAACGT